TTCTCCTTCTTCTCCTCTATCCCTCTCCTCCTCCTCTTCCATCCCTTCTCCTCCTCCATCCCTTCTCCATCTCTTCTCCTTGTCTCCTCCTCCTCCTCCTCCAATATATCTGATGCTCTCTTTCCACTCCATTTTGGGAGCCTAACTCAACCAACCTTGGCTCTCACAGAGCCACAGGTGGTTTTCCTCTAACGAAATTAAAATCTGCTCCATAAACGCCGTGTACAATCCTGGCAGTTCAGAGCTGGAAACCTTTCAGCGTCCTGTCAATCATTGAAGGAATTAAAAGGATTAAAATGATGGATTTCCTCAGCGGCAGCTGCCGGAGCCAAGATTTTATTCAGACCGGATAAAAAGAACCAAAGGCTTCCCCAGCAGCGCCCACCAAAACACAATCCCTTGCCTGGCAGCAAATAGTCCCGGGTTCGACTCCAGAAAGAGGAAGGGCCCCACGCTTTTCTGCCCACAGGCCTTGCGCCTCTGTGTCTCTGGGTGTGTCTTTTGTGTCTGTGTGCGTGTGGGTAATTGGGAAAACAAAAAGGAACGGCAAACCCAGAGCTCAAAAGGAGCAGAAAACGATTTCCCCCAACATCTGAAGAGCTCAAGAAGAGTTTTTCCCGCCTGCCAGGGCTAGTTGTGGACGATGGGAGGTGTAGTCTGCCTTAGGACGATGCAGGCTTTCCAGAGGCTGGCCAAGACATCAGTGACCCCTTCTTAAAGCAGAACTTTAGATGGCTCGAGCCGAGTTCGGACTAGGCCTCAAAGAGCCCAGGTGGCCACCATGGACTTAATCTGGTTATGGAGGGGTGGGGTCTTCGCTTTACTTCAACGGCTGTGAATTATGTTCATTCACAGCCCGTCGTGAGTCCCAAATAGTTTGTAAAAAGTCCAACAGAAGTCTGCCAAAGTCTTTCGGGATAAGGCTGATAAGCACCCACCTTTATCTCCCTTGAAACGCGGCCAAAGACTTAAAGGGCAATTAGTTTGGCAAGGACACACGGAACACAGAGTCAAAACAGAGCTTCGGAATTTAAACCGACCAGCACGAACCAAGTTGCTTCCCTTTGCTCCTCCTTTATGTCCTATGGGAGGGGCCAATCACCCCCCAAGCCTTACTCCCGAGTTGTCCCTTCTGTCTTAACTGTTCTTGCCTTCTGGCATCTCTGCGCACGCGCGCACTGGGAACAGGGGGAGCCCGCTCCTCTGCCTCGACTCTGGAGGCCTCGGAGGCAGCACATAACTCGCAGATGGCCCTGGCCCCCTCTCTGCCTCCGACGCAGAGCCCTCCTCCGAGTTCCCCAGACTCCAGGCCTGGCCCATGTTCCTCCCCAGCCTCCTTGTGTCCGACATTCTCCTCTGTAGCAGTCTTTCCGCTTTTCCAATTTTGTGCAGATACAATCCTAGCTGCTGTTATCCCATGAGTAGTCAAATATACTTCTGGTGGCAAGTCGTTCCACTGATGAATTGTTCTACCTGTCAGAAAATTCCTCCTTCGTTCTAGGTTGCTTCTCTCTTTGGTTCGTTTCCATCCCCTTGCTTCTTGTCCTGGAAAATAGGTAGACTCCCCCCCCTCCCCATCTTCCTTGAGGCATCCCTTCAAATATTGGAACACTGAGATTGCTCGGAACATGTCAATTCAGTTCTCCATGTCTCCTCCTCAACCCAAGGAGAAGGTCCTAGTTGACCATCCCATCCCAGATACTCCATGGAAGGGCTCAAAAAAAGCCTTAGTAGCTGCTTGGAATGGGAAGATCATGGTGTCCTTGGTCCCAATGGTGCCTGGATGGATGGATGCCAGGATGGATCTTCTAGTATTGGAAGATACTAGAAGACCGTCTGGAAGTTTCTCTTTTGTTCTCGGTTGCTTCTGCCCTTGGTGAGTTTCCATCCCTTGTTTCTCGTCCTGACTTCGGGTGCTTTGGAACCAATTCCAATCCGATTTCAGACCT